TATATATATATATATATATATTTTTTTTTTTCATTAGCTAAGTTCCAGTCTACATAAAAGCATGATTTGGCTTTTGTGGGCTGGTAGTAAAAGTGTTTATTTCTATTGTCTACATTTATTATGTTCTTATGATCATATTAAAGACTAAAAATGCTTCTTAAACAGGTTTTATCACCTTCGCCTCGAGTGTCCCTCATCATTATGTCTTTGTGAATGAATCCATGACTTGGGCAGAAGCTCAGAGATACTGTAGAGAGAAATACACTGATCTGGCCACTATTGAAAATGAACAACAGACAGTCCAGTTAATGGACAAAGTGAATGATGATTCCATTGATTTGGCCTGGATTGGACTCTATGATGATCTGAACAGTTGGAAATGGACTCTAGAGGACAGTGATTTCTTCAAGGTTGGAGAGAAAAACTTCAGGAACTGGTATGACCAAGGACCAGGCAATTCTGGAGGACAAAGTCTGTGTGTGTATATGAATAATGGGATATGGTATGCAGCAAGCTGCTCCAATTCATTTTATCTTATGGTCTGCTATGATGGTAAGCAGTTTAATTAATAATATGTATGGGACACTGAAAAACAAATAATTATATTTAATTACAAGTATTCTTAAATAATCAACTCTCACTAAAGTTCAAAACTGCATTTAAATGTTTCAGGAAGACAGAATGCCAGTGCTAGTTATGTGTTTGTCTACCAGTACCAAACCTGGACTGAAGCTCAGAGTTACTGCAGAGAACATCACACAGACCTCGTCAGTATCAGGAATGAGACTGAACACCAGAAGATCCAGGATTTATTAAAGAATAACTATCACTATTATTATGTGTGGATTGGACTGTACAGAACCAGATCTTGGTCAGATCAGAGCAACTCTTCATTCAGTAACTGGAGGGCAGGACAGCCTGATAATGCTGGAAACAGTGAATACTGCACTGCAGTGTCATTTAGTGAATCTGGGAACTGGACAGATGAAAACTGCAACACTGCATTACCTTTCATTTGTTACAGTGGTGAGTAGATGTCTGTCTTAATGGCCAATATTATTAATTAACACTAATACGGGCCACTTTATCCACAGTGTCATTTTTGGTATCTTCTCATCAGTATCACTTTGTGTCAGAGAAGTCTGTCTTATGGTGCGTTCACACTAGTAGTTTGGTTCTCTTGATTTGTTTGATCCCGACCAAAAAAAAACAAAAAAAAAAACAAAACAATACATTTGATCCTGGTCTGCTTAGTGTTCACACTGACATTTTTAACACAGAACCTAAAGATTTTACCTCCTCGTTGCTCCACGTTTGCCATCTGCTCATTTTGATTTGGACACACCGCTCGTTCCGCATTGTCAAATCATGTCGCATATAGCATTGCATCTTGTCATCACATCCTGTCCTAAACTTAGTTAATTTGGAAACGGACCGAGACCCAACTTTTTAGCAGTCTTGGTCCACTTGTTTGGTGCACACCAGGGTTCAGATGGCAGCGTTCACATTCATTTAAATTAACATCACTAACAGAGCAAATCGCACCAGAGTTCGTTTTAATCGAACCAAACATGACAAGTGTGAAAGCACCCTTATTGACCAATATAGTCCAAAAAAAAAAACTAATGTTAAAATTTTACACTTTGTCCTTAGTTGTATCTTTGATATCTGCCCGCCAATATCACTTTCTGTCTGAGAATATGACCTGGACTGCAGCTCAGAGATACTGCAGACAGAAATACACTGATCTGGCCACCATTGATAATATGGATGAAATGAAGAGACTGATTACCACAGTTAATGGGACTTACAGCGGATCAGCCTGGATTGGACTGTATGATGATGTGAACAGCTGGAGATGGTCATTGGAAGATAATGATTTCTATCAGGAAGGAGAGAGAGATTTCAGAAACTGGTATCATGAACCAGACAACTATGGTGGAAAACAATTGTGTGTTTACATGGATTATACTGGGAACTGGTTTGATATATCATGTGACAACACACTGCCATTCATTTGCTATGATGGTAAAGACATTTAGTTTGTGAGATGTGTTACTCATTTTTCATTGACTGTTTCTTTATATGTATTTAAATATATTTATCATATTTCATATCTCAGGTAGAGTGAATGCCACTCAGAGTTTTATCAAAATTAATAATGGGACAAACTGGGCAGAGGCTCATAGATACTGCAGAGATCATTACACAGATCTTGTCAATATAAGAAATCAGACTGAGAACCAGAGGATCCTTGAGACAGCAGGTGGAGGAGTCTGGATAGGACTGTACAGAAACAGGATTTGGTCAAACGGTCAGAATACCAATTATGAAGACTGGAGACCAGCCCTTCCCTATTCACCACAACAACCAGATAATGGTTATGGCCAGTGGAGCATTCCACAGTGTACTGCTGTATTATTCAACCAATCAGGCCGATGGATTGATGAGGTCTGCATATTTAGCATGCCTTTCATTTGCTACAACAGTGAGTTCATTTTTACTATTTTGTTTTTAACTTTCAGTTTTAGACCTCATTTGGTCTTTTCACCTAGTTTATTGTAAGACTGGGTAAATGGAATCCTGGGTTATCTTGTTTAATGTTTCACAGACACTGCTCATAATTTACCTGGGGTTAACAATTAACCCTGCGTATCCATGAATGGACGTTTCACATCCCTGAACTGGGTTAATGTGCTTATTCACATATCCATGGTGTCAGTGTCATTGACTGGATGAACACAGCCCACAACCAGGGGCGTGTCTACATGGGGGCCAGGGGTGGTACCGGCCCCCACTGAAATCTGGTTGGCCACCCCAGGTGCACCCCCCCTCCACCAGATGTCTTGTGATTTGCTTGTTTTTATTACATTTCTAACAGCATCTGTGGTGGATCCTGGCATGGGCAATATAGGAAGCTTCCTCAAGCGACTTTTTTTCTCTTCTATATACTTAATTTTAGGCCATTTCTATAGCGTTATCTTAATGACAAATGTCGAGAACGCATTTAGCGCATCCATGTAATGTGCTAGCATGAACCCCACTTGCAAGCGGATTTCCTTCGTTCTCACACAAAACTGGACATGCTCTTTAATATATACAATTTTCACTTATGACTTGGCTCTGCACTCGTTCAGATATTGCGTGTGCACGCTCAAACTTTGTCCTTGCATCATTGAAGACAAGAAGAGCTTTTTTAATTCGGGTGATGGGTAGGCTTATCCAACTAAATGGAAGCAAGCTGATTATAGTCAGCCTTCTCTAGTTATTTATTTTATTATTTAATACTTATTTGAGTTAAGTGCCTATTGTAAATATGCATTTATTAAATTAAATTATTTTATTTTATTTAGTGCATTTGTATTTTGTTGGTTTTTTATATAGCCTAGCTCTACAATAAAAACGTATTAACCAGGCCCGATTTAATATTGTCCCATCCATTGCTATAGTTATCACTATGTCAATCACTGCTATTTCGAGAGTGAATCCAGCATAAATATACGGATGTCATTCCCAAAACTTTGCAAAGTGTGTGTGGCTGAAAAACAAAAGTTATACATTTTGAATGGATTATAGCCTAGAAAGCTCACAAAGAGTGCTCCCATAAAAAACTGTCACTCTTTGTTCATCGCGATCTCACAAAGTTCTGTTATGACCAATGAATCTCTCAACACTGTACGATCAATCTATTATTTACATCGTATACACTCCATATGTTATAATGAGGTTTTGATTGTATAACTCAGTACGGAACAAAAACTGGTGTGTGTTGTAGCCTTTAGATATGAGACAAAACCAGCATGTACTGTCATGAGGATGATGAAAGTGTTTTCATTTGAGTAAAGCTTTTAAGTCCCTTTAAGTGTTTTTCTTTATTGAATATGTACAATTTCTCATGTGGTAACATCTAATTTATTTGATGTTATTCAACCCAAAAATATGAACCTAATTAACCTATACATTAGGTTACAGTGATAAAATGAAATTTAAGGGTGAGATGAGGTAGGTTAACTTAGGTAGCTCCCTAAGATAACATTTGCGGGTTAGCACTTCTTAATAGTGTACCAAAAATTCTACAATGTTTTTTTTTCTCTCATGCTCAGTTTGGTCATTTCGAGGCCACCCTCGGTGCATCTTCATTTTATATATTGCTCACTGTACTACCAAGTCTTTCCTCAATTGATTTTTTAGATCATAAAGGTAAGAATGAGAACAGCCTCTACTTCAGTCCAGTTGATGTGTTTCATGTCACCAATTGACATTTTTCCCCTCAAACACTGAAACTTCTGTGTACACAACATGCTGTGTTTCTGTGACTATCCAAAGCATTCGAATATAAGCATTTGAATATAGGAAGTTACATTTAAGTTTGGTTTTAAAAGTGAGCCCTACCTTGACCTCTTAATGATTTTCATTTTTAATTTATAGGAATCTGCTCCAAATCTTCATGCACCCGTCAGTATCACTTGGTGTTTGAGTCTAAAACCTGGACTGAAGCTCAGAGATACTGCAGACAGAATTACACTGATCTGGCCACCATTGAGAACATGGAAGAAATGAAGAGACTCATTAAAACAGTACGTGGAACTTTCCATGGCTCAGCTTGGATTGGACTGTATGATGATCTGAACAACTGGAGATGGTCTCTGGATAATGCAGCGATAGAGGGAGGTTTTAAAAGCTGGTTTATTCAGCAACCAAGGAACTCAGGTGGACAGAGTCTGTGTGTCTACATGACATATTATCAGGGAACATGGGGTGAAAACTTTTGCATGCAAACATTTCCCTTTGTTTGCTATGATGGTGAGAACAGCTGTTGACTTTCAAGCAATTAATTACAACAACATAATTATAATTCCATAATATATAACATATTTAAATTGTTTCCCCACAGGAAGACCAAATGCTACTGGGCATTATGTGGTTATTTACTATCACAAAACCTGGAATGAGGCTCAGACTTACTGCAGAGAACATCACACAGACCTCGTCAGTATCAGGAATGAGACTGAAAATTTCAGGGTTCAGTCATTAATTCCCTATTCTTCAGTTGTTTGGATTGGACTGTACAGAACCAGATCTTGGTCAGATCAGAGCAACTCTTCATTCAGTAACTGGAGTGCAGGACAGCCAGATAATGCTGGAAACAGTGAATACTGCACTGCAGTGTCATTTAGTGACTCTGGGAACTGGACAGATGAAAACTGCAACACTGCATTACCTTTCATTTGCTACAGAGGTGAGCAGATCATAAACCCTGAAAGAGTTTGGCTTCAGATACTCACTCTCAGCTATTTTCTAGCTATATATATATATATATATATATATATATAT